TTAGATTCTCCAGCCGGTATTCAAAGTGTCCTTGTCGTCCCCATTAGCACCTCAGCTGTTCATACAGAGGGTCATGTAAGTATGAATTTATCAGAGTAATGGTGCTGAAACCTCACACCACCTCTCCTCTCTCACAGCGGGGGAAAACACTGGACGACAGCTCGGAGCCTCTGTCCAAGCGACACTCAGATGGGATCTTCACAGACAGCTACAGCCGCTACAGAAAGCAAATGGCCGTCAAGAAATACCTGGCAGCCGTCCTGGGGAAAAGGTATAGACAGAGAATTAGAAACAAAGGACGCCGGCAGCGTATTTGTAGCACCCTCCCCTCCCCTCCCACCCCAACCCCCTCCTTTCCTGAAAAAAACAACAACAAAATTTTCATGTGTGCAGCCCCAGATGAAGTCATTCTAAGATCTAAACAATCAGTGGATCGCTTTTGTGTTCTTAAACATGTATTTATGTATGAAGTAAGCCATTAAAATGAATATTTTGATAATAATATTGTTTTTATTTTGTACTTTAAGCACTTAAGGACACACATATCGACTGTGAGGACCAATTTTTTGTTCATTCCGAGAAAACCCCCCCAGAAAGAATAGCCTCTATTTATGTATTCATTGATTTATTTTAGATTTATTTATTTACGAGGGGAGGCAATTGTTCCCATGACGATCTGCTCCAACAGCCCTGTCTTTAAACATGCAGTGAAGAGATATGATTGTGAGGACAAATAAATAGTTTCAAAGACAATCAATGTATTTGAATGCTGCTTTTTGTAAAGTGACATTAAGAGTTTAGTTGTCTTTATTCACAACAGCCTTGAAGACATAGGTTTTCACCCAAGCCTACAAGACATAGACTTTGATGCCCTCCCGGACGGGGATGAGTTTGAGGCTTTTTTGGGAGATTGGCTGAAACAGTTCTCTCCCGAATTTCCGGTGAGTTGAAGGCTCCTACGCGAGGCCGTATCCTCGCAGTGGGGAGGGAGGGGGGTGGGGATGGGCGTCTCATGTCCTCTGTACTTCTCCTCTCACCTTTAACTCTTGTGATCTTGCTCCAAACACTCAAACCCTGCTGTTTTTTCCACCTCATTTGTGCTCCTGTCTCTCTGAAGTCTCACAGATTTGAACCTTTTATCCGACCTGATCCCATTAAGTAATATATATACACATATCATTCTTGATCGATGGAAAGAGGCCCAAATTGATCAGCGTCCAGTTTGAGGATTAAAACACCCAATGAAAGCCTTGGACTCTTTGAAACTTTAAAAAAATGACACCTTTCCAAATTTTTATCCACCCAGAAATTCTCCCAAATCTGACCCGAGAACCTGAGTGCTTTTGAGGTTTTTTTTTCTTTTCCTTTACTTCTGCAGTGTTTACAGAGTGAGTTAACACCTTTGACTCATGTAAAGTGCCAATCTTGTGTTTCTATCAACTGTTTCCTGTGTGTGTTGGAAAACCTCCTACTCTGCCGTCCATAATGAAGTATCACTTCGATATTACTCATCCTTCAAGCAAATTTTTAAAAAAGCATAAAAAAAAAACTTGATACTTGTTACATGGTATCTTCTCGCACTATTTTTGACACTTTGAACTCTTGTGTTTTGAACCCTCTGGATCTATTGTGCTTCCCCCTTTTATCTGTCATATGAACCGATGTAACAAGTACAGTAGACTGCATGATTAAAGTAATTGCACTAGCCACGGCGTCTGTGCAGACGACTCCAACCGGATGGTTTTGCTTTCTGCTTTCTGACTTCTGCAAACATACATACCTGCCATTTCTGGATGTTGTTTTGTGTATTCCGTTTCTCCTCACATTACCTTTTTAACACAAACTGTAGGTTGACATTTGTCCCATTTTAAAGAATGATATGAATGTACTTTACTGTTGGCAAGAATCCCTTCAGTCTAATGTCATGCTTTAACTGTAACTGAAGCAGTAATTTATACCTACTGTCACATTGATATGAAGAAACAGCTTTCTGTTATCTATTTGAAGGATGGTCCAAAGGCTTCCAAAACTGACTGACATGACTGCATGAAAGTAGAGAAGAATGATGACAAGAGAAAATATCACTTAGAGAGACATAGAAGGAATGAAATAGTAACAGGAACATGCTGATTCTGAAATTCGAAGTGAGATTGAAAAATGTAAAAAGAGAAAGTTGTTGGATTGGACTTCATTGTTATTTTCTAACCTGAAATGGTTCTCGCTGCACTTTTTTTCTGACCACATTAGTGAGGAAGATATGCAGATTATTGCAGATACACTTTTTTTTTATTTCAACCAGCAGGGTAAAGTTCTTCCATTTCTGTTTACTGTATCAATCTTTCTTTAATTTTGCATTCCCCCTCCAGGCTTTGTGACGCAGGAAGCAGTTTGCGGCTGTGGTGCCTTGCATCGACTTTAAAAATCGCCATGAATCACAAATGGCTATTTAGTGGCCCTACAATGCTGCACATCACCAGCTTACATTTCACCCTTTATGTTGTTGTTTTGATTTGTGTTGACGTTTTGATCTTTAGTAGCATCCAAGCTTACGGGTGAAGCGCTCTTGCTTGCACTGCTTTGTTTTTGCACTTTGTTTTAGAGCACTAGACGTTTTGTGAAAATAGAGGGGAAGATGAGTTCCCCCACTCTTCATGAATCATTATATGTATAATAATGAAAGCGCCAATAGCCTTACTCAAATGAATTATCTTCAAAGATATATATATATATATGTGTATATATATATGTGTATATATATATATATATATATATATATACACATATATATATATTTACTGTGTAGAAATTGAATATTAGATTACTACTTCAAATGGCGATCTGCAAGGGTCAAGTCAATAAATGTTTAAAAAAAAGTGTTGTAAGATTTGTATGAATAAATTTTTTGTAAACAACAAAAACATTTCGTCTTATCCTTGAAGGCAATATCACCATAAGTCTATTAGTTTAGACACATTTAGGACGATTCAAATTAGTAGAAATCATCTTGAAGATAGACCCTCCCTCGACTGTTTTAACAGGAATCACAATCTCTGAGATTCATGGACGGAAGTATACTGGAGAACATTTTGAAGTATGCCACATTAATAAAGACCACACACAATAACTTGAGCCAAAGCTACAAACAGTTAAATCGATTCATGCATATCCATTGAAATAAAAACGAATTCAACCCGGAATAACTAAAAACGTGTCCAGCAGTTTCCTGTCTTTATCTCAATGTGGGTGTTTAAATCTTGAAGATGCAAAGATTAAATCAAAGAATAAAATGGCAGACCAAGGGATCCAAGTGTGTGCCCCATTTTCCTGGTGACTCAGTGGCTTTGGCGAAAGAACAGTGACACCAGGCTGAGGTGTCTGACTCCCCTCGGGACAGCATGAGTAAAGAGACGTGGGAGGGATCACCCAGCCCGCGCCACACTCTGCCTCGCTGCACTTTACACCTCTCCAGGACTTCAGCCGTCGCCACCAAAGGCCTTACAGGACTGGCAGAACAGTTGGCTGGGCTCGACACTGGTACACACATTTTGCGCCAAAAACAACAATGTTAACTGTGTGAAGCGAGAAAGATGATGTGGACTGGTTTCATCTAAACCGGCACAGAAATCTGTGAAATCTACCAGTCTTACATGAAATAACCTGCGGGATGTACAACTGCAATGTAAGAAGCAAGCTTTCCCAAATAATAACATAAAAGTTAATTCAACGATTGATGATTATTGTTAAAGGAGCAATATGTATGATATCTACTGAATGAAATCATATAATGACCTTACTATATCATCAGACATTAAGGAAAGGTAGGCAGTTTTAAGGCACCCCCACACGGCCGTTTTGGACGCCCCTCGCTTTGCCAGATATGAGACCAGTTATCAGGTCAACCCAACAGGGGTTGCAGCGATGGAAGCGGGCAAGAGAACTGGTTCAGATAGACCCGTACCCGACCTAAAAAGCCTCTGCATGTTTCTAATAAGCTCCAGGAGCAGAAACGTGCCCAAAGTAGGATCAATATTGGAGATGCTTTTGAAAAATGGAAAGAGGTTAGAATGCAGAAAGGTTTACAGACCAATACAGAGCTGGCTAAACACTGAAGCTTCAGTGTGGCAAGTTTGTCACAAGGCTTAAAACCCGTCCCAGCTGCAGCTCTTAACCTGTCATTAGGTTGACTGAAAGTTAGGCTGAGACAGCATTTCCAACATGGTGGCTGCTGCTGATGACAAATCGGTGACGTCACTCAAGGTCCGTCCATTAATATTTACAGTCTGGTCTTAAATAAATTGTCTTAATAGATTTATCTTCACTCTGCTTTGTTTGACTGGGGCGTGGTGTTTAATTTCCCTCAAACTTTCTTTCTTTGGCGAGTCAAAAAACAACATTGTTTTCTCAGTGAATCCACTTCCTGTGTTGAATAACCCTGCAGCAGTTGCCAGGGACAGAATGAGGTAATGGGCAATCAAATCATATTAATGGGCTAGATGATATTAGCTTCAGAGTCCACAGTAAAGTTCATATTAATTTTTGTCCATAAGCAGGAGCAGTGTGTTGACTCAACATACTATTTGTTCTTTGAAAGTGTTAGAATAGTCACTATCATGTTAGGATTAAAAAGGTGTTGTAAACATACCATTTCGCTCGTGATATGACCTATCAGTCCAGTGTGTATCTCTTCTGTTAAAACCCCAGGGGACTCCCACCATGTGGGTATAGTGGTTGACATTTAGAATACCCCCACCCACTCAAGAGACCTCCCCCCTTTTCCTTCTCCACGTGACACTTATTGATATGCTTGTCAAATTAAATGGCAGCTTAATACTGTAAATAGATCCCTCATATCTCTTAATATTATAACATAATAGAATGTCTGATAAGTCACCACAGAACAGGAACTTTTCTAGAAATCGAAGGTTATTCTGGACCTGCCGTCTCCAGCGCCTGGAATGTCGTTGAAAGCCCTTAAATACAATCACATTTTGAGAAGTTCAACATCACATTGTGTGTCTGTCAGAGGAGCCACCCAAAGCCCGCCATGCCTCTTTCTACTCTCCTGTTTACAATAGCCCCCTCTCAGACATGATGGCAAGGCTTTGATTTTGGCCTCAGCTCTCAGAGGAGTGCAGGGAGAAGATGATCAATGGGAGTGATCTGATTCCTCCGGCCCTTGCTAGACCCTTTCCTAACCCTCTAACCAAATCAGCCAGTGTTGCCAGGCAACCAGTCTAAAGAGGATGCATTGGAAGTGGGCAGGGCCCCAGTGCCTGTCCTGAGCACCCAAAGAGCATGCTGGATATATTTCACTTAAATGGCTCAGTCTCAGCTTTGTTGTTTTTTACAGGCTGCAGTACCAAGTTGCAGGAGGGCGGAGAGGTGAAGGGGGCTGATTGAAGGCTCTCAGGGGCGAAAACAGAGTTTGAACAATGTGTAGTGATCCATGATAGCGCAAAGACACACTGGAAACAATGCTTTCACAAATGATTATAAAGGTCAGCAAAGTCAAGACAAAAAATGCCTACATTTAAATATCTCAACAGTGAACAACTCAACAATCAACCAACCAACTAACCAACCTACCAAGTAACCAAGTAACCAACCAACTAACCAACTAACCAACCAACCAACCTACCAACTAACCAACTAACCAACTAACCAACCTACCTACCAAACCAGCCAAACCACCAACCAACCAACTAACCAACCAACCAACCTATCAAGTAACCAACTAACCAACCAACCAACCAACCTAAGAAGTAACCAACTAACCAACCAACCAACCAACCAAACCACCAACCAACCAACTAACCAACCAACCAAACCAACCAACCTACCAACCAACCAACCTACCAAGTAACCAAGTAACCAACCAACCAACCAACCAAACCAGCCAACTACCAACCAACCAACCAACTAACCAACCAAACCAGCCAACCACCAACCAACCAACCAACTAACCAACCAACCAAACCAGCCAACTAACCAACCAATCAACCAACCAACCAACTAACCTACCAAGTAACCAACTAACCAACCAACCAAACCAGCCAACCAACCAATCAACTAACCAACCAACCAACCTACCAAGTAACCAACCAACCAACAAAACCAGCCAAACCACCAACCAACCAACCAACCAAATAACCAACCAACCAAACCAGCCAACCTAACTAACCAACTTACCAACCAACTAACTTACCAACCAGCTAAACCAACCAACTAAAGTACTTTATAACCCAACATCTTTCTAACGGTCGAGCAAGGACTCCAACATTTAGTTGTGAGTTATTGTGTCCAAAACCTATACTCTGCTAGACATCATGATGATAAAATTCCTGAAAATGTGTTGATTTTGACTATGAATATATTTGATGACTTGAGGAATTAACTGTTCCTTTGTGTGATGTTCTGTTAGATTTATTAAAACAGTACAGGAAAGGATACAAGCAATATGATATCAGATGTGTATCATGAAACGAGGAGTTGTAAAATGTTGGCAAACAGCTAAGTATACTCACACGGTCTCTCTTACACATTCAAGACCTACGCCACAACCAAGACTCTGAGCCTCAGTCCAGGATCCCCCTCGCTCCTCTGGGGGCCATGTGAGTGACAGCTTTCTGAAAGGGAAATCCACAGGAAGCTCTTTCATCACTGCTGCCCCCTGGGCCCTGTTTGACTGACTGCAAAACAGAGCAAAAGTTCAGCCATGGAAAGCTGCTGCTATATTTACTCTGCTCAAATAAGTCATTTTGTCAGCAACAGATCTCTAGCAAAAACACAGATTGTTATGTGAGTTCATCATCATAATCTGTCCGAAGGTTACTGTACAATGCTGCTAAACTAAATAAACAAGGTAAGACACAACACTTGGATTAACTTGTTTAAGGCAAGTTATTCTCCTCATAGTTTTGTCCTGAAGCTTTTATTCTTTGAACACTTTGTACCAATGTTAACTTTGTTAAAGTCTGACCTTAGCCAGCAGAGAAAATGACAAGAACCCATTGCATGTCATGGTTAAAACAAGTCTCTGCTTCTTTGGCCGTTCCTAAAGAGACCCAATCTCAACAGTAAAACTTAGCAACCCTTTTGAGTTAGACTATTAAAAAGAATAATTACTATACACCTGCTCATATTAAAAGTAGGAGTCCTAACAGTAAAATTGCCCGGTTTAATACACTCGAATCTCTCTTGGTCTGGTACAACAAGTGGTTTGTGAAAGCTAGCTAACGATAGCTAATGTTAGCAAGCCCAAGGTTGCTACAGATAGGCATAAAACTTTCTTACTGTCCAAAACATACTTACAATATTTCTTTCTAAAACTCTGTTTCTCAACAAGTAAAAGTTAAAACATTGTGGTAATGATTGAGGGATGTGATCTGTCCACTAATTTACAAAGACGTCTGTTGATGGAAGTTGTGTATGAGGATGTGTATCATTCTCTATGGCTGTGTCCCAAACTACATATTAATAAACTGCCTTGTACATAATCAATATGCTGCATACTGCCTGCTAACCTGACAGCTAGTACATTGTATCACCATACTTGTGCACGCTGTCTTTGTGTCACCTGACTTCATCACATATGACCAGTTAAAGCAACGTTAAATAAGCTAGCATCAGGCTAACACACCTGATAGGCTGTTTTGAGACCTAGAACCGAACAAATTTAGCCAGTTTTGGTTATTTAAGTGTATTATTGAAGGGTCACTCTTATTTGTACCCCGCTTGTTGGATAGCTGGTGAGCTATGATAGGCTTGGATAGTCTAAAGAGCTCGACCACATGACTGGGCAATATGTGACATTTGATAAAGGCCAAGCAGCTGGCTATTGTTTGCAGCAATCTCAGTCATAGATTGCACGGGAACACATGTTGTGTCTTTAAGTCACAGCTCTGTGAGTGTTCAGGGA